TAATCTTTTTGGTAAAATGAACACCCAAGCTCGTTTGGATTCGGTTAATGTTTATTCCAAGACTCTGAAGAGTTGGCAGAGACTTCGGCAAGAAAAATGTGTCTATTTCTCTCCATATGCCTACTGTTTCAATTAAATATACTAGAGATTGTCTTTATTTGGCCTGGATAATGATTTGCTTTTTTAGCAGCATTTTTCTGAAACCCCTGGTGTTGCTTTATTTTTAGAGATTGATTTAGTTTTTGAGACAAGGTCTCGCTATGTGGGTAGCCTGGCCTTGGACTTGTGGCGATCCTCCTGCCTCTGCCTCCCAAGTAGTAAGATTCCGGGTGTATACCCCCATGCCCAGTTGGAGTTTAATATTTTTCCAAACTTATTTCAAGCCTTTGTCTTGGTAAGGAATTGATTAATTCAAGATCAGTTAGGCAACCATTCGGTTAGTAAGAAAGCGATGATAATTTTAATTGTTTAAAATTCATTAAATTATTCAAGGCTAATTACGGGAACCAATCTAGCACCTTTACAGAATAAATCTGATTTTCCGTGATGACTACCAAGCCAAGAAGCAAATTACATACATACACTTTTTATCTGAGGCTGGGTATGGTGGTGCACACCTGTCATCCTAGCGCTCGGGAGGCTGAGGCAGGAGGATGAGGATGAGTTCAAGGCCAACCTGGAGTACACAGTGAATTCAAGAACAGCCTGAACTACATATGGAGACCCTGTCTCACCCTCTCCACTGTCCCAAATAAGTAAAAAATAAAATTCAGGTGGGCGTGACGTTCTAGCCGCCAATGCCCCAGCATCTGCTCCACTGTGGTCGGGCGAGTGCACCGCCGGCCCAGGGCCGCTGCCCCAGCTGGGTGAGCCACACAGCCCTGAGGACAGGCAGAGTTGGGGTCAGAGACACAGAGGCTTTTTGCCCTTTTATTAAGGGTCCAGGTGGAAACCAGTGGCAAAGTATGACAGCAGGTAACGGCAAGCAATTTGCTCCCACACATTTAGGCTTACATTCTGGCCATGTGACTCTGGGCTGAGCCCCCAGCTCCGGGACCTTTGTGTGTTGAAAGAACATGGGTGCTGATTTCACAGCTTGCTGCAAGATAAAATGAAAATGTTTACTTTGCACAGTTCCCGGAACATGGTAAGACTCAATGGGTTATGGTGATTGTTATCGTTACCCTTCAGATTCGAAGGTCTGATTTCTTTCCTCTTCTCCTTTTTTTTTTTGACACAGGGTTTTTCTGTATAGTTCAGGTTGGGCCTGAACTCACTATGTAGCCCAGGTTGGCCTCAAACTCAGTGATTCTCCTGCCTCAGCCTCCCAACTGCTGGATGACAGGCGTGTGCCACAAAGCCCCGTACAGAGGTCTGACTTCTGACTAGAAGTTTCCATGTAAGGTCACCGTCCATAGTACTATGCTAATTTTCTTTTCTCTCCCTTTTGCTTTTCTTTATCCTTCCTTCTTCCTTAAAAATTCTTTTAGCTTAGAACTATTCTTTGCAGAAAATAGATATAAAAGGTTAGATTCTAGGTTTTAATTAAAAATCCTCCTTTCAGGGAACCCACCTAGAAGTGATCAATACAGAACTTATTTTAAAGAAATTCTAATCGAGAAGTTCCCACCAAGACTGGGAAGCAAATGGAAGCTGCTGCAGGCAAAAGGCTCCCCTGACATCGGAGCAGAGGCCCGCCTGACTCAGCGTTACCCTGGCAACGGGAGGGCTGCAGGCGCCCTTACTCTGAGGAGCCCCCTGCGGCCTCTGAGTGGGCTCCCCCAGACACCTGGCCGCAGAAGCTCCATAGCTCTGATTCTGAGGGACCGGGAAGGTGGGGACCATCTCTGTTTCACCCTCCCTGCAGCCAGCACCCCAAAGCTCAGCAGGAGGAGGCAGCCGGGAAGCCGTCAGATCCAGAGTGCTGCCAAAGCAGCCACGGTTTTCTAATCCTTTGTCTTTATGCATGGCGCCCAGCACAACGTGCTGCACACAGTGGTGCATAATAAATGCAGCATGTGTGTGTTTGTCTAGGACCATGACCATCCCGAAGGTGCCAGATGTGTGTCCTGTGCACGCCTGTTGGTGAGTCGGCTCAGATGACCAGAGACAACCCAGGTCTTGTCCTTTGAATGTCTCCAGCTGTCAAGTGGCAGAGCTAGCAGGGAGTGGTGGCGCACAGTTATAATCCCAACACTTGGGAGGCTGAGGCAGAAGGATCACTGTGAGTTCAAGGCCAGTCTGAATTACACAGGGAGACTCTGTCTCAAAACAGCATCAACAAAAAACCAAATGAAACCAAACCAAACCAAACAGAAATATGGGGCCAATGGCCACTGGCAATTTATGAGTTTGCAAGTCTGACTTTTCAGTTAAAGACACTCAAGAAAATCACCGTGAAAGAGAACCAGGAAACCCAGACAGGTGAGCCCTGCCTGCAGCAAACTCTAGGGTGGGGTAGACAGGCAGTCACCCCCCTTTCCCTAGGACGTCAGGACAAGGGTGTAGTTGCCTGTGGGGTTTGCTTTGAACTTGGTCACATGATGATAATTTGAAGAATTATCAGCCCATTGAAGAAATTTCCTTCTTCTAGGCTACACTGAACTTGTTTTTACTGTTTTTGGGGTTTGTCTTTTTTTTTTTTTTTGTCTTTTTGAGACAGGGTTTTGTTATGTGGTCTTGAACTCACTTTGTAGACCAGACTGGCCTCGAACTCACAGTGATTCTCCTGCCTCAGCCTCCCGAGTGCTGGGATTACAGGCATGTGCCACCACACCCGGCTAACATCAAGTAACTCTTTTTGTTGTTTTTTTTTGAGACAGGGTCTTGCTATGCAGTTCAGGTTAGTCTTGAACTCACTTTGTAGCTCAGGCTGGCCACCAACTCTCAACAATCCTCCTGCCTCAGCTTCCCAAGTGCTGGGATTACCAGTGTGCGCCACCTCACCTGTTTTTACTGTATTAAATTGCCATTACTATAAATTAATAACGAAATTAGCCAACATTTGTGATCTTAGCGTGAGCCAGTATTTGATACATATCGCCTCAGAAAAGGACAGTTATGGATTGATGACTGACTGAGACAATCCAGGCTGGCTTTGAACTCAGGAAGACAGGGTTAGAGGCAAGGAAGGGGAAGTACGGAGATCCCTGGCAGCCCAGCTGTGTGTGTCAGAGATTTAATTCTTTCACAATATTAGATTTAAGGCTTTAAAGCCCAGATTTCCTAGGAAAGAGAGGCCCTAAACTTCATTTCTCTCCACCACCTCCCGTACTAGCCGAAGTCACTCTGAGTCTCTCTCTGCTCCAGCAGGCTCGGGCCCTCCTGGCCCAGTGGAGACTGAGGAGCACAGCCCCCCGCCAAGCATACGCAGAAGGCCTCCATAACATCTCCCGCGTTCCAAGGAACCGTGTCCTCTGCCGGCCTTCGCCTGGCACTGACCGCTCTGGGACCTGTGCAGGAACTCGGCCTCTCCCGCTGCCGTCTGACCCGTCACACACACGGCTGGCGTCAGGTGTCTTTCCTGCTCGAACCTCTTCGAGTCTCTCACACAAGATCCAGTGCAGACCCCAAAGCCCTCTCCGCACCCCCAGTCCTCCCCAAGCCAACATCCAGATCCAGACCCGTTTTTCCCACACAGGCCCTTCTCCAGCTCAGTGGGTTCGTCGCTCACTGCCCGAGAGCACCCCTGGCACCTCCCTGCCACAATTTCGCTTTTAAGGATCTCCGCACCCGCTGGGCCTCTGTGCGAGGAACTCTCCTCCCCGTAGGGCCCGTGGAGCGCACCCGCTGAGGGCGTGGGGTCTGCCCCCCGCAGTCTGCCGGACCCCTCGGCTTGCTGCACGCTGCTGCGATCCCGCTCCTGCCTCTCTCCGGCCGCTTCTTGCCCTGGCTGCCGACCCTGCTGTGCGGCCACTGTGTAAGAAATCTGCAGCGCAAGGGCAGGAGCTACGTGCTTCTCCCCCAGCTCCCTCCCGGGCCCCCTTTACACGCTCCGTGTGCCTCATGCCACCAGCGGGCTCTCCTCTGCAGCCAGGGCTGCTTTCCGTAGGGGCTCAGCTGCCCACTGCCCCGCGGAGCTGGGCATCCGCTGGTCTCCGCTCGTCCCTTCAGATCGCCAGAGCCCTCCGGTTCCGCCGAGCCCAGCCGTGGCAGAGCGAGTGACAGCTGTGTGGGCGACGCCTCGCGCCTGCGTCTCGCCCTGCGTAAGGGACAGCAAAGGGCCGCAGGAGCGCTGGGGCACCGAGCACCAGCACCCGGCCGTGCGCTCAGCACATCGCGTAGTTTGGGTGCAGAAAGAAAAAGATCCGACTGCTGCCTTATGGCCACCCCAAAAGCTTGCCCCAGAGCTTCTGTACCCCAATCTCACTCTGCCGCCCCACGCCTCCACCGGCTGCGGGAAGCCTGGGCCCAGAGGGAAGCACCAGCTTGCCCCAGGAGCTTCTGTCCGGACCACTGCAAGCCCGGCGCTCTCACGCTGACCACCCTGGCCGGGCGGGCCTGTCCGTCCTGCACGCCGGGCCCAGCGGCACCCCCGCGCGAGGAGGCCAGCAGGTGGCCCGAGTCCCCGCTCTTCCTGGCTCCTAAGCACTCGAGGCCGCTCGGGGCTGCTTCTGCCTCCGATCTGCGAGTCCGCAGGACCTGGGCACTCGAAGGGACGCCACCGGGCACCGTCCCTGGGGCCACCTCCTCAGCCCCTCCCCTGCAACACCAGACAAGAACGGCAAACAGGAAACGCTCATCTTTTAAAAATTACTCTATTATTATCAAATAGAACCACAGTATCCAAAAGGTAATTATAAAGTTCTAGCCAACTAAACGGCCCTGTACCGCCCCTCCGAGTGGCCGCGGCCAAATCACTCCCCCCGCGCCGATTGGTTTCATCCATTTTATTGTCAAGGAAATGAACAGCCCGAAGGGGTCCCCAGGCCCGCGCTCCCCACCGGGGTCCCGGGGAAACAGGCAGCAGGCGACCAGGTCTCACGACCGCGTCCTGGGGCGGAGGGGCGGAGGGCAAGGGGCTCACAGCAGGGGGCTCGGCAGCGTGCGGGCGCGGGCGGCCCGGCGGGTGTCCCGGGCGCGGCCGGCTCACTCGCCCGTGTGGGTCCGCAGGTGGTACTTGAGCGACTGCTTGTAGCGGAAGCACTTGGCGCAGTGCGTGCAGGGGTAGGGCCGCTCGCCCGTGTGCGCGCGCTGGTGCTCCAGCAGGTGGTGCTTCTGCGTGAAGCGCTTGCCGCACTCGGCGCAGTGGTAGGGCCGCTCGCCCGTGTGGATGCGCCGGTGCTCCAGCAGGTGGTGCTTGCGGATGAAGCTCTTGCCGCACTCGGGGCAGGCGTGCGGCCGCTCGCGCGAGTGCACGCGGCAGTGGTTGGTGAGCTTCGACTTCTCGCTGAAGCTCTTCTCGCACTCGGGGCACTTGAAGGGCCGCTCGCCCGTGTGAGTCCGCTGGTGGCGCAGCAGGTGCGACGGGCGGCTGAAGCTCTTGCCGCACAGGCTGCAGATGAACGAGACCTCGTGCTTGCCCGCGTGCACGCGCTGGTGGATCACCAGGCTGATGTGCAGGCGGAAGCTCTTCTTGCACTCCGGGCACGTGTAGGGCCGCTCGCCCGTGTGCGTGATCTGGTGCTTGGTCAGGCTGGACTTGTGGCTGAAGCTGCTGTCGCACTCGGGGCACTTGTAGGGCTTGGGGCCGCCGCCGCCGCCGCCGCCGCTGCCCGAGCTGGGCGACTTGGGGTGCGGCTTGAGCGCGTGCTTGGGGGCGAAGGCGGGGCCGCGCTCGGGCGAGTAGCTGCCGCCGCGCACGCGGTGGATGCGCTGGTGCAGCGTGAGCTGCTGCTTGTGCCGGAAGCTGATCTCGCACTCGGCGCACTCGTACGGCCCCTCCTTGATGTGGTTGCGCTGGTGGATGATGAGGTTGATCTTCAGCCGGAAGCTCTTGCCGCACTCCATGCACGTGAAGGGCCGCTCGCCGCGCCGGTTGCGCTGCTGCTGGCTGGAGGACCCGCGGCTCTCGCCCAGGTGCCGCTCGCTGTGCGCGTGCCCGTGCCCGTGCCCGTGCCCGTGCCCATGCGCGTGCGAGTGCGAGTGCGAGGGGGGCGCCAGCCTCTTCACCGCCGGGTTCCCCAGCTGCAGTGGCGGGGGGCTCTCCTCACCCTCCGGCGACATCTCCCCAGGCAGCGGGGTCGGGTACATGCTGGCCTCGTACCGCCCGGACAGCTGCCCGAGGGCCTGCAGGTGCTGGGGCAGCTCGTCGTCCTCCTCGTCGTCCTCCTCCTCTTCCTCCTGCTCCTCGGTCTTTATCACGATGCCCTCTGCGCCAAGGACAGACAGACGGGAGAATTAGCTGGCGCCTAGTGCCTGGGCTGGGTGCAGCACAGCAACCCCGGTCCGCACCCACAGACGTGTGCACCGCAGTGCTGGCCCGAGTTCCCACTCCGGGGAAAGCTCCTCGCTCCTGGCGGCCCACAGCCCTCACCCTCCTGGGCTGGAGGTGTAAGCCAGGCTGCCCATGGCCTCTGGTCCGGGCAGGAGCCCGGAGCTGCGCGGGCCGGCGTCTGGGGTGGGTTGCGGGTGAGCTGCGGCCAGCAGGGAAGGAAGGAAGTCACAGGAGGAGCCCACGGGCCACCCAGACCCCGCCTGGCCTGAACCTGTTAGGCTCACAGGAGCCCACAAACACGCCCTCGCACACAGGCGCCTAGCGCACCTGCTGGCTGCATCAGGGATCTTCACTCATCCGTCTTTCCCCTTCTCAGGACGCTGGCCTGAGCTCTGCTCGGCCAGTCCTCTTCCCTGAACCCCCTGGACTGCTCTTCCCAGGCCTTTGCTCCCGTCCTCCGGCAAGGCCCCTCCTCTCAGCCTGGTGCCCTCCTCCTGTTTGATCTGCCAAGCAGCAGCGGGGTGTGGCCAGGCTACCAGCCTGGCAGCGGGGATGGGTGGGCTCGCTCCACCTCCCTCCAGCCTGGGTGTGCAGTGCCCACATGCCGGGGGCCTGTCCCCTGCACCCTGGCCTGGCCCTGTAGGCCTGAACACTGCCATGTGCGAAGTGGCCCATCCAAATGTCTGTTTGAGGAAACAAAGGACTGCTTTCTGCCTCCTATTTGATTTTCTTCAGGTGCCTTATAGTTACTTGGGCATTCCTTAAAATTGGGGAGGTTTTTGTTTTTTGTAGTACTGGGGATTGAACCCAAGGCCTTCACTGAGCTACCTCCTTAGCCCTTTATTTGTTATTACAGACAAGGTCTCATGAAGTCACTAAATTGTCCAGGCTGGGCTCAAACTTGTGAGCCTTCTCCTGCCTCAGCCTCCCAGAGTGCTGGGATTATAGGAGTGTGCCCCCATGCCTGGCTGGGAGGTCTACTTTAAATCACTGACTTCGTGTGACATGAGAAAGTCTCTCCTCCTCCAGGTCCACCTGTGGGATAAGATAATGGCCTGCTTTTGCATCATTCTCATCAACAGGAACTTTTACAAAGCACTGCCACACCTGTCCCATCCTTTCAGGATAAAGTCAAGCAGAAATTGTCCGAGTCTCATAGCCAAGCCCGGGGGCTCAGCGAGCAAGCGAGGCTTCCCAGTAAGTGGTAGCCTCTACAGAGCTGGGGTTTAGGGAGCCCCCTCTCCTCCCCGACAGGGAGACTGAGGCCAGCACGGTGTCAGCTGGCCACGGTCGTGCTTAGTCATCGGTGACCCCTGGGCCACACTGCTCCCGCCGCTCCCCTAACCCTGTAAACTATGGTGTCAGAAATGGGACACACGTGCGACGAGTCAGGGCTGCGGAGTCCCAGCAGGAAATGACCCAGAATGTCCTTGAGGGCTGTGCGGCCTGAAGGACCAGGAAGGAGGGGCCCTGCAGGGCGTGCAGACTAGGAGACCTAGGACCTAGGAGACCCAAATTCTTCTTCAGAATCGAAGGTGCTTTTTTTCTTAAGGAAATGATACAAATGAAACATCTGGCCCTAAAATTCAAGACTCCCCATTCCACAAACTATTTTGTAATTTCCAAAGGATCTAGAATGGGGGGGGGGGCGCTCAGAATTTATCATATGACCCTCGCAACTTATCTATACTCAGAATTTACCTTGTCCTCTTGCTATTCTTTCATGAAAGACAATAGGCATATTAAAGACTTCTGAAATTAATGCCACGCAGTTACTTAACAACAAGAAGTTAGCACTGTATCACTTAACTAGGAAGGATACCTGTGATATTTTACTGGTGCAAAAAGGCAAATTGTAGGGGAATTATCTACAGATAAAGTAAGAAAAATTTAAATCAATGTAATAATTTGAAAAACCTAAATAACTGGATATGAACACATCTCTAAATATATAAAAAATACAAATATGGTTAATGACTCACACATAAAATATCTAAGCAGAAATAAAAATTCAACTGAGCACTACCAAATTTTCAAAGAATTAATTTCTATTTTATGTGTGTTTTTCCAGAATATAAAGCAAGAGCAAAAGCTGCAAGTTGCATCTGATAAATGTAGAATAACACTGTTTCTAAAATTAAATGAAAATGATTGGAAAAAAAAGTTCAGGATCATTTCATTTATGAATGTAAATGTAAAACTCTGGAATAAAATATTTGTTAAATCTGACAATGTCTTTAAAAAATGTCACATAGGCTGGATGTAGTGACACACGCCGGTAATCCCAGCACTCAGGAGGCTGAGGCCGGAGGATTGTTGTGAGTTTGAGGCCAGCCTGGGCTACACAGTGAGCTCAAGGCCAGCCTGAAATGCAGAGTAAGACCCTGTCTCAAAAAGACAAAACAAACAAATATGTCACAAACCAGGTGTGGTGACACACACCTGCAATCCCGGCACTCTGAGAAGCTGAGGCAGGAGGATGGCAGTTTTATCCCTGGCTGGATAATTTAGCAACAGCCTCTTCAAAACAGAAAAATGTAAAAAAGGCCAAGGGATGTAGCTCACTGTGAAAGCCCTGGGTTCAATCCCAGTACTGGAAAAAGAAAAAAAATTATGTTGACCAAGTAGGGCTCTTCCCAGGACTGCAAGGACTCTGGCACCAGGAACTCTATCACTGGGGGTGTCCTGGAGTCCCCGCCTTACTGTCCTTGTACTCTCAAGGAGCAAAGGAGACGAAACAGCATCACTGAGGGTTTCATTTGTTTTTGGCTTTTCTGATTTTCTTCTCGCTATGTGGTTCAGGTTGGCTTTAAGATCACGGCAATTGCCTCAGCCTTCCAAGTGCTGTCACCATACCGGTGACACTGAGATTTCATAAATGACACTTAATTCTACCAGGGAAAGAAGCAGAGTACTTATGTTAAAAACATGCTTTCTGAAAGAGGAAAAAAAAAAAGTCACAGAAGAAAACAAAGCCCCGTGCTCTCCAAGGTAGAAATCTGCGAGCTCCTCGAGCTCGTGTGACCCGAGACACTCAAGGCCGTGGGGAGAACAGGAAGTTCTAGCCGTGCCACTCCCTGCTGTGGCCTCGCTTGCCTGGAGAAGAGCGCTGCACAGACGGAGGACGGGCGATCCTGTGTCCCTGCCCGACCTGTCTTACATCACAACTCCTTTCCCAGTCCGGAGGGGCACTGCGCTAAACGCAGAGGCAGGAAACCTCCTTCCAGCCTGTGCCCACCTCCACGGGCTCCCACCCACCTGGAACTCACCTGCGCAGTTTCTCTGCTGCACCAGCATCTGCTTGAGCTCGCTGAACTCGCCCGAGCCCTCGGTGGACTCCTCCAGCGCGTTTTCCTGCTCCTGCATGTCCAGGTCGGGCTGCTCCCCGCAGGGGTCGCCCAGCTCCGAGTCCTGGAAGCCGTGCTCCTCCACTTGTCCCATCAGGGGCTCCGGCGTCTCCAGGCTCTCTGAGCCCTCGTCATTGGTCTGCACCTCAATCTTAATCACGATGCCATCGTGTGCTGCGGGAGGGAGGAGGAAGCCAGGACACGGTCACAGTCACGCACGTGCCTGGGCATCCACAGCCAATGGTTCCCGCAGTAGAAGCCCAGGAAGCAAAGCTGGGGGTGAGTGCCTAGCACTGCCCGGGCACTTCACAGCCCTGGACACCAGTATGAACTGTACTCAGGATGGATGCAAAGCTGATTCTCCTCGAGCCCCACAATTATTTTTAAAAATTCTTTTTGTGTGTCTTCTGAGACAGGGTCACACTATGTGGTCCAGGCTGGCCTTGAACTTGCAAGGATCCTCCTGCCTCAGCCTCCGGGGTGCTGGGATTACAGGTGTGCGGCACCATGCCTGGCTTCCACCAGTTTTACGAAGGCCCACATTCTCTTCCCACACTGGACAGCGTGTGGCCACGCACAGCGTCCCTCTCACTGGCTCACTCACTGCAGGTGAATAAAAAGGGGGCCTCTATCTCCTTACCACTCTCACCTGCCCTGCAGTCCATCTCCAAGGTGCTGGACAGACAGAGACCTCCCGGGCTCTCTTCCCGACCTGTGTTTGTAAGCATGTATACATAGGCGGCAACAGTGTGTTTTTAGCTAAGCAGAGTTCCATTGCACACTGCCTTAAAAATTTGTTTTCTTGAGACAGGGTCTTGCTATGTAGCCCAGGCTGGCCTCAAACTCACAGCGATCCTCGCCTTAGCCTCCCGAATGCTGGGACCACAGGCTTGTGTCACTACCCTAAAATTTATGTTTTTGAAGTTGCCCACAGTTCTGTATATTAACTTCAAACACATCATTACACGCTGAGGCACCACTTCATGTAAACGGGATTATTATGTACTTTTTTGTTTTTTAGTGCAGTATTCCTTTTTGTGTGTGTGTCTGAGACAGAGTTTCGCTATGTAATTCAGACAGGCCTTGAACTCACAGCAATCCTCCTGCCTCGGCTTCCCGAGTGCTGGGATTACAGGTGTGCACCAGCAGGCCTGGCCTTTCCTTTTAATCTGTCTTCTCCTTCCTCTACTTCCCATTTCACCATTAAGACCACTCAAGTAACACCCACTAACTAAAGGGGACTCTTCTCCATGGCTACGTAGTTTTTTTCTTTTTTTTCCAGTACTGGGAATCGAACTCACCATCTTGCACTTGCCATGCAGGCGCTGTGCCACTGAGCTAAATCCCCAGCCCCTTATGTAGTTATTTGTAAAACATAAACATTTATATTTTCATTTTTGGATTGTTATTGGTATTAAAACTGCCCTTATGTTCCTCACTTATGTTCAAATATCTTGTAGAAATCCCTTCAATCCCTATGATTCATAGTGCTACAGCATTCTCTTTGGATACTGTGTATATTCTATAGTGAAGGTAACACTCCGATTTACTCAATCACTGCTTCAGGGAAGATCATTCACTTTCTGCTCCCAGTCTTTTGGTATGGTGAACAACACTGCAATAAACATTTGTTTGTCTATATCTCTAACTATAAAGCAGTGGCTTTCTTTCCATGAAATTCTCAGCAGTGGAACTGCAGTCAAAAGGTTACGTACTTTTAATTTTGGTGGAAGTTGTCAGACCACATTTCAGTAAGGTGGTGACAGTGCCTATTTCTGCCAGTCTGTAGGACACTGTCTTTCGCCCCTTGTTCCTCCCAGCAAGAGACACATTGTTTATTTTCATTTTCTTCCGTCAAATGTAAAGTGATAGCTGACTGATATTTTAATTCCACTGCTCAGGGTAAGTTTGATTACATTTTCCTTTACTTATTATTCTCTAAGATTTGATTTTGTGTGAACTGAAAATGTATAGCTTCTGACTCAGTTTCAGTCAGGTTGTCTTTTCTTATCAATTGGTCAAAAATGTATCACTTTATCTTGTGGCTTCTGGATTTTCTGTCCTATGTAAGGTCTCTTCTGGTCCTAGACGGTTCATCTGATCTCCTGGATTTGATCTCAATGTTTTATTGTCTTATTAGTACTTAGGTTTTTAATATTCTTGAAAGTTATTTATATTTTGCATATGGTGTGAGGTAGGGGATTATTTTCTTCTGTATGGATAGATGGGTGCCAGCCATCAACTCCCTTATATGCTGAAAGCCACTTCTTCAGCTGGGGAAATGATACATGAATAAAGCATAAACATACTCATTCACTTATTAACACTTACTGAGCACCAACTGTATACCATGCAGCGTTCTCATGGCTTAGGACGTATCAGTGAACAAAGCATGCATATTACATAAGACAACAAATGATAAATTACAGTACATGTGAGAAGGTAATGAGTACTGGGGGAGAAAAGGAAACCAAGAAAGGCAGGAAACAGACAAAGCCTCCTCACGTTCTTCTGCCCTGTCTCTTCTTTCCCAGTCTAACTCAGACCTTGGCTCTGAAAACTCAGACCAGGCTATCAGGCTGAAAGCGGACGTTCTATGAAAGTGGTGGTGGACCGTGGCTCACGTGCCGGGGCCGGCTGCTTGTTTTCACTGAAATCACTACAAGGGGGGCTGGGGATTTAGCTCAGCGGCAAAGCACCTGCCTGGCAAGTACAAGGTCATGAGTTCGGTTCCCGGTACCGGAGAAAAACCAAAAAAAAAAAACCAAAAAAAAAAAAACAAAAAAATCACTACAAGGTTCGCCATCCCTGCTCTATGACCTCGAGCTGGGCTCCCTGGTGATGCTGGGCCATCTCTCGTTCCTCCCTGACAGCCCAGTGGAATCATGGGAAGCGGATGGAACACAGAGCGGCCCTAACCTTCCCAAGGTGCTGGCCCCAGCCTTCAGCGTAGCCTTGAGGTTCTGACGGCACCTCCCACTCTCCAGACACTATCCTGTTCCCCAGGAAAAGACAAAGTCACCCACACTGACATCCTCGCCTCCCTCTGTTCAGCTGGAAGACATGACTTAGCCTGCTGTGCTTCGGGGATGTCTGGAGCATGTGCCCCAGAGGTTCGTGCTGGGAAGCCTGGTCCCAGTGTAAGAGCGCTGAATGCTGCGGGCAGAGGCACAGGAGCTGAGCGGACCAGGGCTCTGCCCTGTGAGTTGGAGACAGCTGGAAGTTACCCAGGAGCAGCCCCGGCTCCTTCCCACTCCCTGTCTTCTGCGCTCCTTTGGCGATGCTACCTGCCTCGATGCGATGCGATCAGAGGCCCTCACCAGAGGGCCGGCCACAAGCTCTCAACCTCCAACTGGGAGCTCACTAAATCTGTTCTGCCTTGAGTACCAAGCGCCAGCTATGTTGTTATAGCAACACAAATGGACCGCTGTCCCACCCCATCTCCAATCTCAGGAGAAGCTGAGTCCCACGCCCTCCTTTAACCTACCCCTCCGCCTGTTTCCTTAAGCCTGCCTAGCTCTCCCCCTGGACTTCTGTCCTAGGGGTGGTGCCCTCTTCTCATCTGTCTTTAGTTCACGTCCGCACGTCTACTCATCCTGTCCCCGCCACAAACATGACTGCACAAACTCTTTTTTATTTTTAGAAACAGTCTCACTATGTAGTCCAGGCTGGCCTTCAACTCACTATGTAGCCCAGGTTGGCCTAGAACTCAAGGGCATCCTCTTGCCTCAGCCTCCGAGTGCTGGAATTACAGGTGTGTGCCACCATGCCTGGCTATAAATTCTTGGAAATATTTCACTTGTCTATTCCCTTAATTTCTCAAAGCTATGCACCCCTTTGCACCTTTCTGAATAGATATCTAAAGTGCATGAGTAACTGCAAAAGATGTAATTTCCACAGTACTGTAAATATTGATATTTTGAAATAAGCTTTTCCTTCATCTCTTCACATCTCTAGTGGAATCTAAGAATGCTAGTGATTAAAAGCCCAGCAACATTTACTTAAAAATTACACGAACAAGTTCTTCTTTGAGAGCTGGAATTCTTGGTTGGGGATGTGGCTCAATGGCAGAGCTCTTGCCTTGCATGCATAACACCCTGGGTTCAATCCCCAGCACCACAAAAAAAAAAAAAAAAAAAAAAATTGAGAGCTGGAATTCTTGCATCATTCCCTTTTCACTCTAAACTTCTATTTTCATTTCCACTTTTCCCACAGAATAAAACGTATCTTCATGCTTAGAAGCCTTTTGCTGATCACCTCATCTGCCATAAAAATGTGTTTGTAAAGCCGGGCGTGGTGGTGCACGCCTGTAATCCCAGCACTGGGGAGGCTGAGGCAGGAGAATTGTTGCGAGTTTAAGACCAGCCTGGGCTACAAAGTGAGCTCAAGGCCAGCCTGAACTGCATAGCGAGACCCTTTCTAAAACACACACACACACACACACACACACACACACACACACACACACAAAATTTAATTTTGCCTTCATTTCTAATAAACGTAGGGCTCCTGGCATTCATCTGCTTCCTGGCTGAACTTAGCCACTGTGATTATAACTACAGAATGACAATCAATCACCCAGGAAAAAAAACAAAAAACTTTAGAAATGAATCTCCTGTAAGGATGCACAGGAACTTTTCTCCAATTAGTTTGCTTATCTGAGAACGAATATGTGTTCCTTCTATACAAGGAGATGGATTTCAGAATCTATTGTATTCTGCTTCTCATTTTATCAGTATGTTGACTGGCTGAAGGAGCTTGTTATAAAGCTGTTTCTTGATCCTCCGAATTTATCCTGGATTATTACATGCCACCGAGGCAGGAGGATGGCAGTGAGTTACAGATTGTCCTGGACTACACACAGAGCAAGACCCTGTTTCAAAAACAGTAACAAACCCCAAAAATTCCAACCTAAAAAGTCCTCCTTTAACTCCTCAGTTTTGCTCTCCAGAGGCAACTGCTTTCAACTCTCCCCCTGATTCTTCTGTGATCACCTTCCTGCCTCCAGTAACACACCTGCATTTCCACGCCTTGAATTTTCCATTATAAACATTACCAATTGGCCTTTCTTTTCTATTTTTGAGGTACTGGGGATTGAACCAGGGCCTTTGCACTGAACTACATCCTTAGGTCCTTTTCTTAAAATTGTAGAAGTTTGAGATAGGGTTTTGCTA